CTATACATCTGCCTGCCTTCTATATTAAAGCCTCCCTCCCGACCTCCAGCTCAAACAGCCTCTGGAGCATTACAGATAAAGTGAGCAATCATCTGATAAATAAGATGGAGGATGAAAATGTCCTTCCYAACTAAAAACCACGTCTATTTTACCATTCTGCTTACGCAAATGCACTGCAGCTCTTTGCCTCCTTATCGCTTACAGCATGTTCTGGAAGTTGGCATCCAAGTTCAGCTGCCAAAACATCTTACTCCCCGCTAATTAGAGATGCCAAGATTCCAAACAGATAAAATACATAAAGGAAATTGCTAACAACCAAAAACGAAGGCAGTGTCATCTTTAGGACTTTGCTCTGAAAAGRTACTGACTATTCTATGTGCTACCTTTGAAGAGAAATGGAGCTGCACAATGCAAAGCACTGCTGTTAAAATCTTTTCCCTCACTTACAAGTACAAATGAAAAACATTTTAAGATTGAACTCACTGATTACCAAGGAAGGGTTGATACCAGTCAGAGGGCAAGGTAAGGTTAGCTTAAATAAAGAGCAGATAGGTTATATAGGTTAGCCTATATAAAAAGCAGACCTCTAGATATATAGATGCACCATCCACCGTGTGCTTTCCACATGGTCTGTGTCCTTTATAGGACACGAGGRAACAGTAGCAACACGACTGCTGGAGAGAGAAGCAATGAAGAAAGCAAATACAGATAAATGTGAATGGCAGCAGGAAGGCACAAGGATTGAAAAAAAGGTTAAATTTACAGTGACAGGAAAAAGAAATACAAGCAAAATGATAGGAAGAGAGAGAGAGATGGCTGAAGAATCCCCAAATGTTAAGTCTTCTCCACTACTTTTTCCCCTCTCTTTCAGAAGATTGGGGGTGGAAGAATGGAAGAAGAGGCTTGATCTAAGTGACCAAATTTATTTAAAGGGCTTTTTCTTTTATCCCAGTAGTTAAGATATTTTTTTAAACATAAAAAATTCAGACCAACAAAATTCCTGCAGTAAACCAAGTAAACCTAAGAACAAAAAATGGTAATGCTCTTGGTTTGGTTTTATTTTCACTGAACCAAMGGAAGAACTAAACTCTAGTACAGAAAGAAAGAGGGGAGGGGGAATCTCCTGGACTCGCTGGAATTTCCTAATGGATTTGCTGTACAGCTTGATTAAATTTAGCAGTCATTTCTTTTTTCACTTCTGATTTCACATGCTGTGAAAGAACCGCCAGTCTCAGAAGGGASACTATTTATCCTTCCAAGGAGCATGAGCACAAGCTGCCCACGTTGGCTGCTGAAAGCCCGGCTGSAAGAAGGCAGGCAGCCTAACTGGCAAGCCTTCCAGTTAGGCTGCACCCCTCACCAGATCTTCATCCAACAAAACAAGAATCCCAAGGAGCCACCGATAACACAGGGCCAACAACCAACCGACCAGCCTGCGGGGAGCGACCAGAGGACTCGGCGGAGGCGCCCACTCCTTGCAGTGCACACACCACGCACGCAGGAACAGGGTTCATTGGTGACACCCCTATGTTCCTCTCCACAGATGTCCATTTTTGTTTCCAGTTCATTGGAAGGCAAAAGTGACAAACGGCCACACAAGGAGTGCGCAAGAGATGAGTGGTCCAGCTGGGCTGCTGCTCCCCACCAGAAAGTGGCTGGTTCTACCTTGTAAGACCAAGGTCAACTCCTTAGTTGGGGCTTTTGGGCAGCCTTCAAGAAGCTTTGCTAAGACAAGAAGCATTAAACGCAAGAGGCTCCTTGTGGGCTTCCCAGAGACTTCTTCTGACAAAGTGGGCAGCTTGCAGCAAATCCCTGCTGTGGTTCACATCTAATATATCTGTTGTGACTTTCCAAACAGGCACCTTGGTTGACAGCCATCAAGTGTGAGTACAGCACATCATCTCATTAAAAACATATACTGGGATCTTAAAAACCGTGCTCAAAAGGAAGTATGTAGTATGTGTCATATGTCCAAATCTTATCCATACTTCTCTGATGAGGTGTGACAGTTCAACTGTCACATAGTTTGCTTGGGGAGCTTCTAGAGAGGGCCCTGCATAGAGCGACAAACATGATTAAAGGACTGGAGCATCTGTCTTATAAGAACTGAGTGAGCTGGGCCTGTTTAGCCTGGAGAAGAAAAGCCCRAGAGGGGATGTGATCAGTATGTCCAAGTACCGGAGGGGAGAATGTAGGGAGGAAGGGGTCAAACTCTTCTCAGTGGTGGCCAGTGAYAGGACRAGGGGCAATGGGTACAAGTTGAAACACAGGCAGTTCYATCTCCATGTGAGGAGGAACTTCCTCACTGTGAGGGTGACAGAGCCCTGGCACAGGCTGCCCAGGGAGGCTGTGGAGTCTCCTTCTCTGGAGGTCTTCCAAACCYGCCTGGATGCYGCCCTGTGCCACATGCTCTRSGTGTCCCTGCAGGAGCAGGGGGGTTGGTCTAGATGATACCTAGAGGCCCCTTCCAACCTTAACCATTCTGTGATAACACTCTTTTCAWGATCACGGCCAAGGTCACCCCTTGTAACAGGATGTTTCTTGCAATAAGATGACTTGATTGCTAGGAAGTGGGTCAGAGTAGAGTCCTTCTGATCTTCCTCCCAAGTATAAATACTGTTGCTTACTGGCACAACCAGCCTGCGTCACGTCTTCACATGCACCCTGCATACGGAAGGCAGTATCATTGTATTATCAATGCGACAAGTCAGGATCTCATCCCTCCAAGTTGTACTATGTAATTCGCATGAAGTCTATGTGACTTGACTGTTCCTGCCATCAGCAACAYCTCTCCCTTTAGGTACCAGCTTCATAGTATTACACAAGCCAGAAATAAAAGTCTCAGATTTGAAGTGCTGGCTCAATAACTGCAGCTCTGCTTGCAAGATACACTAGAGAGGGTGGAGAGGGTGAGCTTTGTTTCTGTGCTGAACCCTACTACAGAATTTGGGCACAAAAATGCATCCATATGGCTCAGCTTGAAGGGCAGAAGCCAAAACAAATCTGTAAAAACTGGTAGTCTAACAAAGCTGCTTCAATCTTATAAGAGTCAAAATACAAGACAACTCCTTATTTATACAGCTGTCCAGCCTTCACAGAGGCAGTGTAAATTTTGCAGCGAGTCTGACAAAGGAAATAATAATTCATAAAATTCAAATGTACAACACAAAAGACTAATAGCTATTTTTCATTCAACCTTTTGTTGTTGAACATTAAATATATGGTAGATAAATGAAGCTTTTTTTTTTTTTTTTTAGGCACTTCTGGGCAGAGGAACTCTGGGACTGTTGTAGCAGACATCAGAGAGTCCTCAGTGGTGGGTGGCTTTCCTTTGCCCTTTACAGGCCAAGCCAGCCCCGAAGCATCCTGAATTCTATACAAGTAAATCCAATTACTTTTATTCCCTTGCTAACTAGGGCTATTTCTACCAGCAAGGCAGCAGAAGGTTAGTTTCTCAGCCATTCTCTCTAAGCAGTTTTGATGACCATCATCTTCTCTTCACTCTAATTGCCATTTAAGCATGGTGTCTCTGCAGGACTCACAAAGGTCATTAGCTGTTACAAATTCTGTTGTCCACACCAGTAAAGAAAAAACAGAAAATAAAAACCTCAGGTACCTGAAATTACACGCACAAGACATCAAAGGGCTTTTGTAGGCCAAAAGTTCAGCATCTTTCTCACTGCAGAATTTTTTATATGCCTCTAATCCGCATGACGCAGCTACCTTCAACRTAGCTTTGCTTTCCTTTCCTTTCCTCTCCTTGTTCCATATCTACATGCCAGCCATTCCTCAATATCACAAATCCTGCATTTTTGATGCATAAAACTTTCTTCTTTAAAATTTTACTCTTTATCCTTACTGCCTAAATTAAGTTTCAGTGGGGATTACAAAGATCGCTGCCCATGTGATACCTTCCTTGCTCTTTTTGAGGTCCCCTTTCCACATCCCTCCAGGGAGCCTCGCCAGGAAGAGCTCGCACAGGCACGGAGAGGGAGGCAAGCTGGAGCACCACAGCAGCAATCCTGCCTCCACCGCTGCCCTTGCTCTCACTTCAGGAACACATGGGCCAGCTCTCTACTTCACGATACAAGTACCATGCCTTGCTGTGGTTCTGCAAGTATTCACATGAATTTTTAAGCTTACTACTTATTCCAAATCTTCCTGGACACAATTTGAAAATTTTAAAAATAAATGTTGTCCTAACATGCAACCTTCTATTCTGCTCTGTTTGTCTGAGTGGACAGAGCAGTGATTTTTTATATATATATATATATATATATTTATATATATATATATGTGTGTGTGTGTGTGTGTGTGTGTGTGTGTGTGTGTGTATATATGTTCTCTAATGCTTTAGTTGTAAGTCACAACTCTCCCAAAAATATGAGAAGACAAGGCAGATGGCATGTTAGGAAGTACATGAAATGTTAAACAAAACAGGCAGGAGGTCATCACATTCATGTGCATCATGGTCCATAAGGAAACCTAGAAGTCAAGAGGCAATCACTCCATCTTCCTTGAAAAATACTCAAACAAAACTCAGAAAAGAAAAAAAGAAAAAAAAAAAATCACACACACTTCTTCTATGTCTGTAAATAAATATGTTGATGTTATGACATCGGAGTATATTGATTAAAAAAAGAAAGAATGARAAGTGAAAATACACTCTACAGACTATGAGCTATTTTTAAACTTACCTGAGGCTTTCCCAAAATTCAATCTTTGCCCTGTACCCATATTGTACATGCACAGAGACAGACACGGCAAGTCAGTACACTTCTACAGAGGTTTTAGGACAAAGGAAGAGTGAAGGCCTCGTCTAAGGAGGCCTCAAGCGCTCTGCAAAACCCCATCTAGAGCGTGAGGAGGTCCCCGCTACCAGGCTGGGTTAGAGAGAGCAAAGGAGCGGCTGAGGCGGAGGAGGGAGGAGGAGGCCGCGGGAAGGCACCGCGGGAAGGGGTTAGTGGCAGCAGAGGCCGCGGCGCGAGGGCTGCACTTACTGACGCTGCCGCAGACGGCCATGCAGTACTGCTCCGAGTCAAAGTTGTTCCGGTTGCCGCCGCAGCCGCCGTAAAAGAAGGGCGCGCACTTGCCTTCGCTCGCGTCAAAGTACCAGCGGGAGATCATGGCGCGGCACGGGCCCGTCTCGGCCTGCTCCGAGCACACCTCTGCGTGCGGGAGAGCGGGAAGCGCGCTGAGCGCCGCGCGAGAGCCCCGTCCCGCGCACCAGGCAGCGCCCAGGGCTCCGCCGAGACCTCCCGCGCTCGCCCTGCCCACGCTGGCAGCGRCTCTGCCCGCGGACACGGAGCGATTTTGCCCCAGAACCATCACGCTGAAATGAGAGCCAGCACGGGGGCAGCCACGCCAGGATGAAGTCTCTCCACCCCTAAGCCACAGCAGCAGCGACGTTTTTATATCAGTGTCGCTGAGGCCACATTGGCACCGTGGCTGCACTACTGGCAGGGCACGTGGACRATAACATGATGGTTACTGCTGCCCAAGAGGACCATTAAGTTAAAATCTTTATCTTGAGTCTTTATGGACTATATCTGACAGCAGAAGATGTCCTTTTTCCTGGTTATATACATCCCCATGCCCACCCAAACTGAGATTCCCTTACTTATTAAAAAAGACCATTTACAACTTGCATGGGAAAACAAACTCTTATACCTATTTATGTATAGCCACTGCACGGTTTATAATCCACGGTCTGAGGTATAGAGATACACACACATGTGTATGTAAATATCTATCTATACATCTATCTCAAACTAGTGCCATAGATTTTTCTCATCCCCAGCGATTATGTATGGGGGAGAGAAGGAGAAAAAAAAAATCTGTCTAGATCTGTTTTCACTGGGAGCTGTCACAGTCTTTGCCCATATCCTGCAACTCATGAAAACCTGAGGGGAAAAAACAAACTGCACACATTAAGTGAAGAGAAAGTGAATTCTGCCTGCAATTTGGAATTCAGCCAATTATACATGTAAATATATAACCCTTTACAAATAATGTTCCAAACAGAAAAAAAAAAAAAAGAAAAAGAAAAACAAATTTTACCTGCCCCACACGCTATGTGCCATTTGCAAAGCTAGGTAATGCTAGGTACTAATATATTCTTTGTTTGCTTTCATCCCCCAGACAGCATCTGCAACAAACCGGTATGTTCACCAGAGGCTTCTAAATTTACAGCACAAATTTCAGCTTTGTGGGAGGCAGACTCCTAAGGGTCGAAAGGTATAAAGAAGTGCCAGTGCATTAGCATTGAAAATCCCCTGCACACTCATCATCTCCAAGGTTCTGGCTAGGAAAAAAATGAGCTTTTCTGAGACTGTCTTGATAAATAATAGATAACTTCACTCTCCCTGGGAGCACTGCTCTTTACTAAATACATATTGCATTAGCTTGTCATCATTATTCAACATGCACCCATATTTGCTTAAACCTGTAAAACAATAAATACAATTTTATACATGTATTTATCAGGCTCACAGGTAGCATGTGTAAGTGTTAAAAATCAGTTTTGGTCTGAGAGAAACAGAACCATGTATTCAGTCATCAAGGGTGTACTCCAAATGTTTCAGTTCTGCATCTACCTGCTTGTTACTTTAAGAAACAGAACAAGAGTATTTAATCGTACAAAACATCAAATACAATTAATTGTATATTACTCCATAATTAATCACATACCACATTCGGTAGCCCGACTCTTCTGATTTATTTTAAAATAAAATCCAGCCTTGCCAGGCAATTACGGAGTCCTGGGCTTCACACAGAGCCGATTCTGCCCAGCTCTGGAGGGGCTGCCTCCCAATTACAGCTGAACCAGGACTGACTGACGGCAGTAAAGAGAAAGGTAGAGAGGGGAGTTTCTGCCAACAAGAAACATCATTTCAACACAGAAAGGTTTCAACAACTCAGTCTTTCTTTTAAAAYTAGTTAATGCTGACCTCTTCAATCTACGCAGGAAGCGTCTTCTGGGTTTCCCTTGAAATTCCAGTTTTCCTATTAAGCCTGGTWTATTACTGCTTGCAGTGTGATTTTTACGGCATGAGAAAGGCTCACAGATTCAGTCAGCTTTTCTGCCTGTGCAAGTAATATGCAAAAATGATGGCAACTGCCCGTTGAATAACTGATGTCAGCGTGGCAAGGAATCAGCCTTTTGGGAGCCAAACTCACTCCCACACCTCAGGGAGCGCGTGGGGACGCGCTCGGGAGCGCGGAGCTCAGTGGCAAGAGCGGCTCGGGGCCGGCCACGGGATCCGCACGCTGCRGCCGCGGCCCTGCCCGGTCCCCGCCAGGAGCCGGGGTGGCTGCAGGGCCCGTCCTTCCCACGCAGCCCACCTCATTGCTCCAGACGAGGAAAACTGTCTCGGGGCCAACAGAAACGGGCACCTTCCTGTGCCTAATTACTGCATGGGTCCTGGTGGCCCAAGCCTGGGAGCATGTGGTGGCCACCACTCTGCAATGTCACCACTGCTGGTCACCACCTCTGCCGCCCTGTCAGGCTCCCTCACAGCACCCAACCTCAGTGTCCAGATCACAAAGCTACAACGTTTAAACCTCAGTGGAACTGCCTGAGGGGAGAGGTTGGTAACAGACCTGCTGAGGTGGCAACTTCTCCAGGTTTCCCTGGGCCACACAAATACTAACGCCTTCCACGGCTACTGAGTGCAGCAAGCTATGCCTGAGACGCGGGGGCTATGGTATTTCAAAAAAAATAGCTGCAGGCAGCACACATGGCTAAATGTTTGAGAAATTAAAAGCTCTCTTTGTTATTAAACTAGTTGCCGAATAAAAGATAACTTATATTTTTTGCCACTATGTAGTTAATTTTTCCCTGTTCTAAAGTCTGTACCAAGCAGAGGAGTAAGAGGGACTTTTGCTYTGCATCAGCAACTTGCTTGCTCTCCCCCACCAAAGATGAGCATTTGGGCTCCACGGAATTAGGTACAAGTAAAAAGGATGAGACTTTGCCACAGTTCTTGTTCCTAACTGGTCTAAAATCAAACCTTCCAGATATTTCTGGCTTTCAAACAATCCTTGAAGAAGTAAATTAAATAAAATAGTAAAATTTTCTCTGTGCCCTAAACGAAAAATTATATTTGCTAATATCTTCTCCTCTCTAAAACCTTGGTTTTGACAAAGTATTTTTGAGTTAATTAAGAAGGTATAAATCACATTTCCTCATTACAAACTTCTTCTGACCTCTTGCCTTGGCACAAGGAAGTGAGTAGATCACTCCTGGAGGGACATTCCCGTGGCTCATGTTTTGATTTGCCTTTTAATTAGTATTTAAARTTACAGACTAAAAATAAATTAGTCACCCTAAACACAGGGAATGATGGTGTTATTTTTCCTCTGAAAAGTACAGACTTTAGCATCTAGGAAATAGCCATAACTAGCCACTTGTTGGGGGAGTTGGATAAAACCTATATGCAAACATTTTGATGTTAGCTTTGATGAACAGTTTTTACATGGGGAAATGTAAAAATACAGTTCTGAATCACATTTTAAAACTTTCCATTACAATGTAAATTGTTTCCTTCTGTTCCTTGGAGAAAACTCATTTTAAATCAAAACAAAATTATAATTGTTTTATTTCAAAATCTGCATTTCATGCATTTTTTCACCACTTGCATAGGGCTAACGTTGCCTCTGTGAATACCAACATTTTCAATTGAGGAATCTGAAATAAATTTAAATTTCTAATGGGAAAAAATATATTTTTTGATAACATACTTCTGCCATGCCATGCAAGCACTAATATTTTCTTTGAGATTGGAGCTTTTTTATATGACCATGAGAACTAAGTTAATTTGAAGGCTGTTCCAAGCCTCAAGCCAGAAATTAAATGTGAAGAGGTAACAGAAGAACCCAAGGACCAGCAGGARGCGGTAGACAACCAACTCAAGATTCCTCCTGGGAGCTGGTACCTTTATTTAGTTTACATCTCTGAAAAAACCACTTCACCTCAAYGTTACAGAAGGAAGAGGCCAGCAGGTTGTCTTCCAAGCACTCTGTAATGCAGCCACGGTATTGSAGGCTATAACGTATCTCTACCTGTCAAGCCTTCAACTTTGCAGTCTCCTCCAACTGAGAAGCCCACAGTTATTGCCAAACCTTGGAAACATTCCTCAACAGCAGCCCAGCAATGTAGCCATGGCCCTTTTTCCAGCAAAGCTGAACAACATCCCTGAGGTCACCCGCACAAATGGCACTGGGTAAAGCCACACAGAGGTTTCACRCCTATCCCCTTCAACATAGCCGTTTCACATCTGTCCCTTCACTCCCTCTCTTCCAAGCATGTCACTTCAAAACAAGTATGGAAAACATATTTAATATAAAGCATGTGGACACAGCGTGATCCAATTCACTACCCTGTTCAAGCTCACAGCAGACAGAAGCTGATTTCTATCACCCTTGTGCAGGGCCCAGGCAAGCAGGGCACTCAGCTGCTGCAGGAACTGGGGCCACAATTTCCTGTCTCTTCATTCACACCTCACTGCAGAGCACAGTAATTGAGAGGACAGAGGCACCAACCTCTCAAGCACCCGGCCCTTGGTACAYAATGCTGCAAGTAGTGGGGTAGTTTGAGCTTCTGAGCTTTTAGGAACTACCCGCTGCCTACTAACTACACAGGGACCTCTACCATCCTCCATTTTTCAGCTTGGTGTTGACCAACTAGGGTTGCTTAGGACAAATTAAAGAGTACACGTACTTTTTTTTATTCTTACACTATTGTTCAAAAAAAAAAAAAAAAAGCAGGATACTGTTTTTCTCAATAAATCAATGACCGAAACATGGAAATTTTTCATTCTGAATATATGGTGAGAAGAAGTAGCCAGGTTTTAATTTGAGTATTCAAAGACAAAAGCTAATTTTAAGAAGTTTGGAACTCGGCAGAGACAGCTGTGGTGCCGGCACATGGTCTGAGATTAAAGTCGGTGCCTTGGCTACGCTATTGCTGAATACTTTCTATACAGAAACTTAAAAGAAAAAAGCTTCTAAATGACAGACTAAAGAACATCTAAAACAGTTAAATAGCTTAAAATTGTAATTTCTACTCTAAACTATTAAGATTGAACTTCTCTAATGTTTTTTTCTTAATCTACTGGAGAGCGGATATTTGGAAAACAAAGTAAAAAAATAAAATCTGACAGCACACTTGGCTAGTGTCTATGCGTAAAACCACACTCCCTATTTACTTGTGCAAAAAGCCTAGATGAAAAGCAGTTATCACTGGTGGAGATAAACAGACCTCCCAGCTTTATTTTAGGGACAGGTCCATAAAATATCATGGATTTGTGTGTTTTGCCAGAGGTTGCTTTCGTGTACCACCGTGATTACACTGGCAAAGCGAGGCACACTGAATGCGCCGATGAGGCGGGAAGTGCCTTTCAGGAGTGCAAATCCAGGGACTGTGTCCAGGCAAGGTGGCACATGATTGCACAAACTGCACACAACAAAGCAAAACACCCAGTTAATGGCTGCTTCTATACAATAAAATGTCCATTTTCTTAGGGGAACAGGTTACCAGKAGATTTCTTCTGACAGGATATATTTCAAATTAAACCATTCTCCACTCTCCAATCTTCAGTAAAACGAAAGATTTACTGTATTTTTCAGTATRTCTGCCCTTGTCCTAAAATATAAATAATACATTCCTTTCTTATCAAGCAATATTACTAAATATCAAAAAAAAATTCTAATTGCAATATATTTTGAAGTATTATGGGGCAATAGATGTGTTTAAAATTATACYGTCCAATTAAATGCCATCAGTTATTTTAATCCAAAACAACTACTTTATTTTTATTAGCTCTTGTTCATGCTAGATTATAATTTTAAATGAAAGTTGTTACTATAATGGACACTATTCTTTTGGAATTGTGCAGATTTTCTTAATACGCAATGTAGCATTATCGTTTTCAAAATAAAGCATAATTCATAGCCTTAAGGCAAATCAGAAAAAAAAAGAACTACTTTTGAAAAAAGATAGCAACCTTTCATAGAAGAAAATAGGAAAGAATAACTGAGGGTGAAAATAAGCATAGCTGATCTAGAGTATAGGATTAATATAGGATTAGTTTTATCCCCAAATTTAGAACTGATGTGACTAGAAATTTCAGCGATAAGCTGCCTTGTCTTAGAATAGRTAGTAAGTGATACTGAGTGAATGTGAAGACTCTTAAACACATAAACGTGCAGCAAAAATGGATCCTAGATGAGCAAGGCCAAGAGCTGCCTGCACGCCAACATCAGACTCCTCCTCTCTTGCTAGGAAAGCAGCATATGGTGCCTTCCCCTGTAACTCCAGATTGCAAGCACAGTTAAAATGTCATGTCGAGCAGCTCTGCTTAAGTTTGTTCCTGAATGTTTAAAGCAATCCAGCTGAATAAGATAAAGCAAACCCAATCGCTACAGGGCAGCATTACATGCCAGACGAGGCAGGGCAACCTTCTGCTGGATCTCTCACATCTGCTGGCAGGTATSTGCAAAGCTGCCAAGCGTTTTCGCCACGCGGCTGCACCGACCCCGTTGCTTTCCTCTGAACGAGCCCTGTCGGCTGCCCATGTTGACAGGAGGCATTAAGCTCAAGCTGCTTGCTCTTTGCTGCAAACTAGAAGGGACTGCTTTTTCTCACCCCCCGCAGAGCAGGGCGGGAGTGGAAACAAAGCCACGAGCAGCTACGCACGCTGCGCCGGCCCCATTTCCGCATGGGCCCCGTTTCCACGYGGGCCACGCACTGCGAGGGGCACCTGGAGCCGCGAGGCCTCGGCAGCAGCTCTGCAGCATCCGCATYGCGGAGGGCTCAAGCTGCCCTGCTGCTTGTACCGGCCACCAAAGCCACCCCCTCGCTCCAAACAGTCTCCGAGAGGCACAGTGCTTCCGCGTCCCTCCACATAACTAGTCGCACTTTGGTCAGCACAAATTCAGCAATAACATCTCCCAGGGGCTGCAGGTGAAAACTCAGACTTGAAATAAATTCACTCTTCGCATCCCAGAGGCCTCAGTCCCACAGTGAAGTAGATTTAATATTTGAAGCCCAGCAACAGTGCATCTGAAAAGCTAAACTCCACCTGTTGCCCTGCTCCACCTAAAACCCAACAGTAGAGATGAACCCTCATCAAAGGCAGTAAAGGGACTATTGGCAACTGTGGTGCTAGGAAAGGGGATATAAATAAAGTCATCCCTTTCCCTCATTTTTTTGAATAAACATTATGGCTTATAAAAATATGGTTGCTACAGAAAATGAATGAAAAGACTATTTTCCTGTCAATGGCATCTGTCATTCTCTAGGCAAGACTGTAATTGCAGACTTATTTCCAGTGAAAACAAGTAGTTCTACAATTGCCATTTTGATCACAATTCATTAAAAGATGCATGAAAATAAGGCTGCCCGACAAATTGATTCTACAATAGCTCAAGTGTCTCTAAAGTATAACATTTATGCATATTTATGGATGATGGTAATCACTGCATTGATCTGTGGGAGAAAAGGCTTGGTACCAGCCCACAAATAGATCTTAATTTATGGTTTTAGAAGAGCACCAGCCCGTGATGATTTCACACAGAAAAAGCAATAACTTCAAAACTGGACAAAGCTAATTCCTGTGCTCTTCAGTGCTGTGACACAGACACAGCCTCAGGAAGTAGAGCAAAAAAATGGGCTGTGAAGTGCCCATGGGGAGTATTCTTGGATATATTTTCTCACCTGCATGGACTAACACCTGGGAAAAGCAACTTTTAGGCCTGAACAGTTGCTCAAACCCACTAGAAGGAAGATCTGACATGGAAACCAATTTGGAAGGGCCTCCAAGCTGTTTTCAGAGCACAGACCACTTGGACCTAAATGGCCTGCAAGACACCTCTGCCCTTTTCATGTATAGGGAAAAAGGAAAACTCTTCTTCTGTTTGCAACAGCAAATTCACAGCAGATGCTTTCTATCCCAGATCTGCTGGCAGTATCAGGAGGATTAGGGAGCCCTGGGGGCAGCTTTCTCTCAAGTGCAACATGGGAAGGAGAAGCAAGGGCCAAAGCTACATATCCTTCACAAGTCTCTCCATTTGCAGGTGAACAAGCCTTGTGCCCAGGGCGGCTCTGTCAGGCATCGTTACTGCCCACGAGGCAGCAGTATCAGCACGCCTGCAAGCCAGCGGGGTCCCTGCACGCCAGCGGGGAGTCGCAGAGCCTGAGCAGCTCTGGCACAACTGCTCTGAAAAATCTCTCTCCCAACTGCACTGCCCTCACCTCACCTGCAGCCCTGTCCTTGTCTCTACCACACATTTCAGAGACGCTAACCAAAAGGTGGTTACTTTTGGACTCTGGAAAAACAAGGACGCTAGGTCTGCATTTTTAATTGGCAAATATATACTTCTARAACTATTTTTTTAAGGTGACTTCCACACTTTGCCTCTACATTCATATTATTACAAAAGAATATCCTGATGGTTAAGCATCTTAACCTCTTTGAAATATCAACCTCAGTGAAGAAATTCATTCTACCTAATTTGTTCTCATTTCTACTCATTCATAATCCCATTAAAGTTTTTTTTTTTTTTTTTTAAATATTCATTTACTTGTGAGAACAGGACATTTCAGCCCTGGGCTGTAAGAGCTCACATATAGTAATACATTTAATTGGCTTAAAGATTTAAATATAATTCCCCCTGCTGCCAAAATGGCCCTCCAATAATTGAATGAAACGCCCAGAGTTACATAAGGCAGATGCATACAACTGCCTCTCCAGCCTCAGATGGAAACATTTGCACATAATTTCATTGAAGTATTACTATATTTGATTAGTGCATCTGCACACAAGCTGAAGAGAAATCCTTTATGAAAAACTCACGCTGTTTCAAAGATTTTCTCAAACACATAACCCTCACCCCCCTCCATCASCATCTGCTCTGGTGGACATCCACAAGGAGGTTCAGAAGGAAAGGACAGCTAACTTCACTCACCAAAGCAGGGCAGCTCCATCACTAGCAGCCCTCAAGGTTAGAGGTAAGACCAAAGAGGCCAAGGGCAGTGCTGTCAGCGTTATCTCACTGCACTTCAAATCGGTGCCGTTTTGCATCTACCTTCTGTAAGTCCCAACCCCATGCATTTTAACTGCAGCTCTTTGTCGCTTTTTCTGCTATCATCTCCCAAATTACGAGTGGAGATGTAAGCACAGCAGACATCTATCTATCTTACAGAGACTTCCATCACATGGAATTGCTCTGATTAAAATTGAAATATAGGAAGAGTTCATTCAAATATGTACTGTAGAGAGAGAAAAAATAGCATTCAAAAATTTGCTACTTTGTGACATGACCCTAGCAACTTCCATGAAAATAATAATATACAATACCCAGACTTTCTAGGAAGATGGACCTCCAAAAAAATGTTATTGAAAAAGGAGGAGCCAATTTGCAAGTCCTAGAAGCCAAAGCATAACAACGCTGCACCATAGAGTATTTTGCTGTTTGGAACATTTTTGTTGTTGTAAAGGGCAAATATAGAGAGCAAAATGATTAGATTTTCCAGCCCCACGCTCACTGCTTGCAAGTTTACCTCTGACAACTTCTTCCACGGATTCTGTGGTTGTGGTGGTGGTGGTGGCGATACTGGTTGTCCTTTCAGTTGCCTCCTCGTATTCCTCTGTCTCTTCTTCAATTTCATCACCGTCATCGTCGTCATCATCAGCATCATCATCTTCCACAACTGTGAGCTCCTCATCTTCCTCTTGCTGCTCTTCTGCTACCTTATCGTCACTAAATGGAGAAAGTGAGAATGCCCCTGTCAGCCACACAACAACTTCAAGTGGCAAGTGAGAACGTTCTATTCAGAAACCCCGTGAGCACCAGAAGGCAGCACCTGCTTCTCCTTCCCCTCCCTGTTGTGGAGAACCAGGGACCCTGGGATGTTCCAGCGAAGATGGGTAAACCAGAAACTCTGAAAGTCAACATTATCAAGGCTGACGGAAAAACGGCTATCAAGAATTCCTCCTTTCATGCTGGGATGGAAATGGGGATCCCAACCAGCAGTGCTGTACTTTCACAGYGGAGCAACACGCCGGGTATGCTGCTTCAGGCTGCCAAACAAACAGTTTTCACTTTGAAAGCAGCCCAAACTAGCTCCAAACAGGGAGCTACTGGGCCGCAGCGCACCCCCGCGAGGGACGCCATGATGGCGACCACCCGCCCCCCTCACAGGGGCGGCTCAGGCCAAACCTTCCGGAACCTTCCAGAGCGCCCGCCGGAGCCTGTGCCCTGCGGCCAAAGCAGCACCCGGCTTCCTGCACTGAAATGACACCTTACAAGAACTGTGCCGACCTGCCTGCTTGGACAAAGTGTACTGGAAAGCGTGACCAAAATAAAGATTTCCAGTGTAGGACTTCTTTGGGGACAACCAGGCTGGCCAGAGGGGGTGGCCGCACGCCAATGCTGCCGAGACCACCACCTCAGGGAGCACCAGCACGTTCACCAAAAAAAAACAAGTAAAAACCTTTGGTCCCATTAAGCTGTCATGTAYAAAAATATCACGTATAGAATGTAAATACRAGCACCCTATCCACATTAAGAAAAGCCAAACAATTGGGCTAAATATTACTATACATCGTAACGCTTTAAATGACTATTCCCCTAGCTGCTTAAACACCTTTCCAGCTTTAATCAGTCTTTGATGATGGAAGGAAGTGCTGCACATAGGCTTTCACCTGGTGGCTTCGTGTGTCAGGAATTTTCTGGGATCAAGCAGCACAGTCTCCATCACCATCGCACCCAAGAGGTCCCTCATCTTTTCCATGGCATCGCGGATGCTTTAACAGCCTCCCACATCAAGACAACCTGTCTCCCTCCCCTTGCTATTTCTTGAACCGTTGTTCAGCCTCTAACATTTCAGTATGTTTACTTTCAAACTTGTAGTAGGACAGAGCAGAGAGGAGAACAATATATTTGTTAGTGGGATTTTAAGGTGATGTTAGGCAATGATATACATAAAAAAAAACTTGTATGCCACATACCTAAATCTACTGGGAAAAAAATAAATCTCTAAACAATCAATAATGAATCTCTGTTCGCTCCCCCCTGCAAGGTATGTAGCCTCCAGAAACAAGAGAGAGGAGTAATTAAGCTTTCCATTAGGCAAAGCCCATGAAGGTTTTATATATAAAAATGATTGCAGTAATAATTCATTTGCCAAAATGGTCTGATCAAAGGATGACCTTTTTCAATATCCATACAACAGAAAAAAAATCCACTCTGTATCATTTTCCATTGGTATTCTATTTATAGCAAATCCAAAACTTTCTACTTCATTTTCAGTGGCTCCTTTCTAAATAGTATATTTTTTATGTTCTGGAATTTTTAGTCTAGCATTTCACCTTTTTATACATATGAAACAATTGACCTCAGTATACCGTCACCTTTCAATTGCAAAAGCAAGGTGGGCTTTTAAATCCCAGCATGTTTCTGATTACAATATTAATGGGCTTCCACCCTAGGGAAACCCATTAATCTACAGTRTCAGTTTACAGACACTTACCTTAACCATTCCGAGTATAATACATCCAGCTTTTGATCAAAAACATTGGATATAATATGCTTTCAGTATTTAAAAGAGCTTTTCTACCTGTCTATCTCGCTCCCACCTATGCTAGACATGCAGGAACAAAAAAAAAAAAAAAAAAAACAAAAAACAAAAAACAAAAAAAAAAAACCCATAACGCTTTTTTTTTTAAGTGCAATCATTTTTCCTCTTCCTTTCACATGAATCATTCCTCTCAGACAGTAGCAAGCTCAAAGCTTTTTGTTTAAAAATAAAAAAAAGGGAAAGAAAAGGACAAAAACAAACTAATGAAACAAAGGAAAGTCAATTAGATAACATGCACATGGAAAGCCATTTCAAAAATAATTTTATGCATGCATCCACTAACCATCTGTTTTTAGCTACATAAAAGCAACTCACTTGGCTATGCAAGTCCACAGCACTCTGCTGGGAAATTTTTAACTTGCAGGCAACCTATATTTTTTCTTGTGTGTGCATGTGAAGGCGGCAGGATGGCAGAACAAAATTCTCTTTTAAATCTGTATTTCTTTTCTTGAGAAACTATTGCTGAGCTAGGTTCACCCTTCTAGAGCAGTAAAACCCAGAGGCTGAACTTGTTTCAGTATCACCAGCGGGAAGCAAATCATTTTTATTTATATTTTTATTTATATGGACATTTTGGTATAATCAACCCCTAGGAGTTATCTGCTGTTATCTGCAGTTGCAACCATTGATGTTGAAATGTGTAAGAAAGTTAAAAATGAACTTGCACTTGGCAATCGACATACCTATTCAGCAGCAATGCAGCCTCTGGGAAGTGGGGTCTTTATCAGTGCGTGAACAACTTGAGCTGTGCTCAATGACTCCCATTGGGATTTTCTCCATGTACCAGTTTGCTAGGCCTGCCTTTGGAGCACACAGAGTTGTTTTGCTCTCAACTAAATCCCCAGAAGCAAATGCATGGGTGGCCCTCACCCACACCTCCCTTTCGAGCTGCTGCTTGCTAATCAAATAGACCCAGAGCAGGTCAAAAAGCAGGACAAATTGGAGGACTACAGGAGCTACAGGGTTGCAGCCTGACAGTATTCAGCAGAGCTTGCAAAAAAAACTGTCCTGGAATATTCTACTTTTTTGATCACTTCTGGAAAAATCTTATTTCTGGTTGTAATATATTCTGCAAGACTCAACCACAGGGGCAGTACTTCACAGGATTTGTTTTACTGCAAGGTACAAGGAAAAGGAACAAATGAGCAAGAAGCATCTCTGCCTTAGATTTTGACACCTAAATGGAACAGTTTGCCACTTTCCTACAGAATTAAGATGCCTGTAATTGCACTTTAGAAGTCGTGCCCCCGATCAACATTTTCTTTGATCTCTTATTGTAGAGGGAGGTGTAACTAACCCCCGGCTTTCAAAGGAACTCTCCAATCTCCACTACTCACAAGGCTGTGATGCTGCTGGAAAGGGGAGAGGCTGGGGGCTCCTCCCTACATCTGCAGCTAGTAAGGCAAGTGTGAGCATCGTGCTTGAAGACACAAGTTTAGCATAAACAGTGTCACATTTCATTGTGCTTCTGTGGCAAACAAAGACACTGGAATGACTTGACATATTTTTAGTACCATAAAATCTAACATGCCTTGTGAGAAAATGGAAAAATATGCTCGGTTTTGTTTCTTTGGATTCAATTGTTGTTATCATCCTGGATCATCTTCAAAGAGGATCCAGAAGAGACCAGCTCAGCAAAGGAATGAAGTTTTATTTCAGGGTTTGCAAGAGAGCACCAAGTCTGCAAACCAGGACAAGGCCCCTGTGCCGCAGAGCGCAGAGTCCCCCGCGTGCCCACGTGGCRCTCACTGCTCTGCTGCCCCTTGCCCTGCACCAGTGCTGCCTTTGGCCGCCGCCTCCAGCGGCTCCACACACCTTCCACCTCAGCACTCAGCCCAAACCCACGGCTTTCAATATCTCCACAGCAAAACAAATGTGCATGCTCAGAGGCCTGCGAGTTTGCTGGGTAAGTTCAGTGGGTGCGCTCGCTCCTGCTTTTATTCCAACTCGCCTTCCTTGGCAAGAGCGTCTGGCTCGCTCTTGTTGCTTTCAGAGCTGTGATACCTTGACAGCTTTTTCTCTCTATTCCCCTGATACTCCCCCAGACAGGGCTTTATTAGCGGCACAGGCTGCAGCATCTCATTTACACAGAATTGTTGACAGTTTGCCTTCGCTTAGCAGTGCTAGTGACAGGATTTTCCAAAGGCTGCTCAAAAAATTACCTGATACACTGACAAGCTCATGTACTGGTAAAACCACGTTATCACCAGCTGAATTTAATGATACAGCAGTAAACAAGGCAGGCAAATTGCTAGGCCCGAGCGTAGCCAGGGAGGTCTCTGGAGGCCTCACATTGCACGCTGGCATCGCTCACCCGGAGGTCCCTGGCGAATGGGGCRGCGATTCCCACCAACCGCAGGCGCTTCGTGGCTTTGGAGCCTCAATCTTCCCACACGAGGGATCACAGAATCATAGAATGCCGAAGGYTGGAAGGGACCTCAGAGGTCATCGAGTCCAACCCCCCTGCTCACGCAGGGTCACCTAGAGCACGTGGCACAGGGCTGCATCCAAGCGGGTTTTAAAGATCTCCRAAGAAGGAGACTCCACAACCTCTCTGGGCAGCCTGTTCCAGTGCTTTGTCACCCTCACAGTGAAGAAATGCTTCCTTAAGTTCCTGAGGAACTTCCGATGCTTCAGTTTGAAGCCATTTCCTCTAGTCCTGTCACTGTCCACCAGTGAAAAGAGGCCGCCCCCCTCCTCCTCACTGCCTCCCTTGAGGTATTTATACACGCTGATCAGGTCCCCCCTCAGCCTCCTCTTCTCCAGGCTGAACAGATATTAAGATCCAACTTGGATATTAAAATCCAACTCCCTGTCACGGAAATGAGGCCTCTCTCCAGCAGCCGAGGAGAGACACTGGTCACTAATACAAACCACCTGCGTGTCCTATATGTGCAGGCAGGAGCGTGGGGCTCTGCAGGCTCAGCATCATTTCCTGGCGCCACAGATCCGCAGGAGCTGCAGGCTGCCAAAGGAGGTAACTGGCTCCATAAAACCGAGTTAAATAAAAACACTCCAACTACCGTGTCTCTGATGAGCACTCTTCTGTTTTGAAAAACACATCCAGTACACTTCCACTATCTATTTCATCACATATTCACAGCCATGTTTAAACTATCAA